ATATTCCTGCAAGCCTCTCAGAAGGGCGTCCTTGGGCACCTGATTCAGAGGACGCAGAAATGGAAGAAGGAGGTCGAGATGCAAAATCCCTCGAGCTCGCTCAAGAACGTACTTTGGCAACACCTGGTTCAATTCCTCTCCGAGAGATTTGGCCGACTAGCCCAAGCCACGGGCAACAGCGAGCTATGGAAGGAAGCCACTGCCTCGTCCATGCTAACGTCCTCTGGCGCATGGCCCTACCTGATGTGGTGCGCCAAGGAACGACGTCTCAAGATGACGGAAAGAACACCTATCCCCATGGTCAAGATGCAAGCGCAGATCGAAGAACTTGTGGAGATCTCAACGCAGCAGGACCAGATCATCCGCTTCAAGTCCTTGAAGGCCATGGGGGAGAACATGGAGGCATCGCAGGTATGCCCCTAGCCTGGTTGATCCAAGTCAGCACGAGACATCAGAGATTATGGGAACTCCTCCAGCTGCTCTCGGGATCTGCCCTCTGGCTTCTGATCCAGGCCAGACTCCGGCCGCATCAAATGCGAGAGAATCCACTGGCCAGGCTCTGGCCAAGAGCTCCGCAGACCGCTACCCAAAGAAGAAATGACAGGACTCGGAACACCTGCTACCAAAATGCTGCAGTGCTCTCCATGGGTTGGGCCATTCTTCACCTGAATGATGGGATGTGGAGTGACTTTGGGGATGGTGAAGCTGCCTATGTGGACCTGTGCAGTCAGGAATCTCTTTGGGTGAGCCTCGATGCACTCAAGACCTTCCAGCCATTCCTTCAAGACTGGTGTCAAGGTCGACAACAGGACGTACATGAGTTCACTCAGGCTTTTCTTCACTGGATGAAGCCACCAAGCATCGGAGTTTCATGGCATAGCCGCCTTGAACGTGAGGGGATCGTTCAAATCTCCGATAGCGGTGCAAAATGGATGCCTCCCACTGTGTCGACTAGTGATCCAACATGCAAGCACACACATGTTCAGGAGCTCCTAGATGGATGGCAAACATATCGTGGAATGAGCGCATCATTTCAAACTGACAGCCGTATCATTGGAGTGCATGTTGACCGCTATGCCTTGGACCACTCAGGCCAACCTTGCAAGCAAGTCTGGCGCCTGGATGTCTCTGGAACCATTCTTTTTCCAATTCAACCTGAAAACACCCTCAGAGTTGATCTGATTGAGTACCAGGTCATTGCAGGAGTTGTCCATATTGGAGGGGATCAACGTGGTCACCTGCAGGCTGTTGGACGTGATGAAGCTGGCTGGTTTCTGTTTGATGATGATGCAGAGGCTCGCCTCCTACCTGATGATGGTGTATTGAGGCAGCACTGGACCTTTCTCTGGCTGATTAAGGCTGATGCATGCAGCCAAGGTCACCCCCCGCTTTCCAGTTCTTGGTCATGATCAAAGGGTTTCTACACTGGTTCATCGTTTGAAGCAACTGGATTGGAACCCTGCAGAGCATATGGCCCACTTGCCCAGGGAACTTGAGATGTATTTTCGAGTGCATTGTGCTGTTTGCGGGAAGGTGATCTTCAACTATGAGACCTTGAACCGGCATTTGAGGTTGAAACACACCGCCCTTTGGCAAGACATCTTCACGCTGCCTGCCTTTCAGCTTAGTAAGTTTTGCGTCTCTCAGCTTCCATGCCATAGATGTGGAATCAAAATTGTCTTCCCCCGGACCTGGAGCACAAATGCCACGTGGAGCTGAATTATCGAGTTGTGCTGGCGTATCATGAAGAGCATCTTGCACCACGGAGCTGCAGAGGAGCAGCCCCATCTTGATGGATTGGCGGCTTGGCTTCACTAGCTGCCTCTTCGGCTGGAGATCGACTACTGAGGGCAGCTGCCAGTGAGTGAGGCACCAATCGCACCTGTTTTCCCTTGGAAGGTGCCTAGTTTGCTCCGTGTTGTCACGCCTTGATGGCAAAGCCAAACTGGCTTGAAATCCTCCTGTGAGTTTTGAAAGGTTTTTCTCCTTTTTCGAGGAGGATCTTGACGATTTGACTTGTTTGCATGTACATTCTGCGAGTTGTGGTAGGCACACTCCCATAGCTGACCCTCTTTTTATGGAGCCGGCTGGAGACTTCAATTCTTTAGAAAATGTATGCCACACTCTCACCATGGCTAAAGGCCTTGGCTGGCCATAGAATTCGAACTACCTGAGTGATCAGCAATAGCGCTTTTTCTCGCTCGCCCTCCCGAAGAGCACCTCGGTGCATTAGCTCCAAGAGGAGCCGGACCTTAGTGTCTGGTTGGCCCGCTTCTTGACTGCGGTCGAGTGCGCCGCAAAGTCAAAAAAAGTCTTGGTTCCCTGGTCCCTTGGTCCTTTGGTCCTCTGGTCCCTTGCTCCTCTGGTCCCTTGCTCCTCTGGTTCGTTGGTCCTCTAGTCCCTTGGTCCTCTGGTCCCTTGGTCCTCTGGTCCCTTGGTCCTCTCATCCTCTGGTCCTTCGTCCTGGTCTTCGGGTACTTGGGTCTGCACTTTCGAGGCAAGACGCGTTCAAGGTGATTTGGAAATCTGGTCATACATCCTGTGAAGCACTGTAGCAGACCTTTCATCACCAGACGTAGCAGACCTTTTTTGTGCGCCACCCTGACGGTATAATTTGAACGAAGAAGGTGCCATTCGAAGGTAGCAAACCTTTTGTCAGCCACTGGAGGGCAAAATTTAGAAGAAGAAGGAACCATTCCAACGTAGCAAGCTTTTGTTTTGTGAGCAACCGCGCCTGCCAGGCAATCTGCACTCAAGTGCTGCGCGTGCAATGAAATCTGCAGTTCCAGTGCACAAAGTGCTGCGCCTGCCACGCGCCCTGCAACCGAAGGTGCTCAAAGTGCTGCGCCTGCCACGAAATCTGCACATCCATATTCACATCGCGCAGCGCTGCCAAGGCGGTTCGCAGTGGCAGGCGCAGCTCTTTGTGAAAGGATATTTTCTTTTTGGTACTAATTCACTTTCTTTTTGATAGGATATAGAAAATTGTTTTTTGATATTTATTTATTTTTTGATAGCCCGGCCCGCCAGGGAGGCGATGTGTACACATAGAATGCGGCCTCCATGGTCACTGGTACGTGCGTTTTTGGGCCCATTTTCAGGGCCGTTATATATCCTTGTTGTTTAATGCATTTTTCCAAGGAAGTTCTACATTTTGGGAGAGAATTTGGGCAACCAAGAGATTGAAAGATGATGGTAGACTGAATGGAAACCTTTCCTTTTGCCTCTCAAACGACCAGATTGTGCCCGGGCTGTGATGAACATATATAATTATATAGTTGCCATCTAAAAACAAAAAACTAATCCTTTTGTGCTGTGTTGGTATCCACAGTCGGCTGGAGGATATTGTCCACCAGCAATACACATTGCTGCTCCGACGTTCTATTTTTCAATACGTCTATACGGGAGGACTGGAAGATGCAATACATGAATTGTAAGGACGGCGCAACAATCTTCCAGCCCACCCCAAAGTTGGAGTGCCCAAGAATGCCATGTTGACGTGGATAAATAAGTTGAAGGCAAAATCATGGTTTCCCTACCCAGACTTTCACATGTAAGTTGCCTTGTCCTTCATTGCCTTTCATGTCCCTTGTCTTTTACAGACACATTCTGCATGTGTGTGACCGTTTGTGGCGTGCGCAGTGCACATTCTCATCCCTTCCTTTGTCTTTTCCATGCCAAAAATCTCCTGAATACACTATCATCTGCACTGTATGATCACTCCTGTCCGTGCAATGCCTGAAGCAAGGGAATGCGCTACTATGGAACGTGTTAAAAGGCCATCGTCAGGAATGTAGCGTCAAGGAGGCTTGCTGCGACAGGGAAGGTTAGCAGAAAAGGTGGTGAATAGAAGGTCAATGGAGGAACGGGAAAACAGCAAGAACGGAAGGGAGCGAGAAAGCGAAACACTAGAATCATGAAATTCCATAATTTTGAGGTGACGCGGAAATTGGCAAGTGCTGCGACGCGTCATTGCTCTTCTGATGTTACTTTTGTTGTACATCCATGTTCTATACCAGTCACCTTTTGAGTGGTTCTATGATGTCTGGTAATAAAAATTCCAGGCAACGGACTGAAAGATAGAATGTTCAAGGACACCAAAGTCAGGGCTCATTTTTGTATTTTTTTTTTTGATGGGAGGCATTCTATCATGGTATAAATTTCCATTTAACTGAGACATTTCTAACTGTACTCGGACATTGAAAAAGCGGCGTTCTATCTGTGGCACACAGGATCTAAGCTCAAGGCTTGGTTTGAGCCAAACTTTATGTGAGGAACAAGAAGCTACTAGGGGCTCCTGGCATCGCTACTAGGAGCAAGGATGCTACTAGGGGCTCCTGGCCTTACTACTAGGAACAAGAAGCTACTAGGAGCAAGTAGAAGTGGAAGGGGAGGCAAAGCTAATGGGGTGAGATTCAATCCTGTTGAGCTCCATGTGCTTTTCCTCGATGCCAGACGGTGGTGGTTGACTGCTGAGGTTTCATGCTCACGCATTCCGATCTTCACAATACGAATTAACATACACAGACATCCGTCCTTTTATTTTTGCTTTTAGATCAAGCCCAGCGTTGAAGGTGCTGAACATGCTTGTGTAACAACATCCAAACCAGGCTCGTCCGCCATAGTGCAAGGCTGACAAGCCATGCTGCGAGTCATTCAAAGTCACTTTAACAATCATTTAGATGTCTCACTTGGAGCTGGTACACGCATGCCTACGGTGCTTTAGAAACCCCCTTCCTGTTCCCTTCACTTGAATTTATACCAGCATAGACCCCAAACAGTTTCAGTTGATTCTACTTTTTTGGTCAGCTCCTTGGATTCCAATGTTAGTGGACACGTTTCAAATTGAATTCCTATAGTTTCCAGCTGTTTGAGAACAGCAAAGCAAGTTGGGAACATGACGATATTGAAAGATCTGGACAAGGCTGGACAAGGGCGGAGAAGACATGGCCCACGGCACGGGCAAGCACATAGACCCGGACACGGTCCGACAAGACAAGGTGGTGAAGAAAGGGCGGCCACGGCAAAACCCGGAGCCCGGCCCTGCTTTTCCTTCTCCTTCAGCCAAATTCCGAGGAGTTTCCTGCAGCCAAACCTTTGGATCAGGCACGTTGCCGGCCCCTTTCTTGGCCATAAGCTTTGCTATCTTCATGCAGCATTTTCATGGAAACGCCTTCAAAGCAAAACGTCAGTTCTATTGTAATTATAGTTCCAATCTTGGTTGCTTTTCTAGCCCTTTTTACACGTTGGGAAAGCCGCTGCGGCCTCGGACCTCCCCACAGGAAGCCTTCGCTGAGTTTGTCGCCAAGTTTCGTGGCGCCGCTCGGGCCACTTAGACCTTCGGGACTTGTAGGCTTAGTTTGGGAAGATCAATTTGCGTGGGTAAGGATATCAACCAGTTCCCACGTTTGCTTCACGAGGAACAAACCATGACATGGGTTTCCCAAACTGTCCAAGAATCAAATCCATAGAACACGGAAGGTTTGTTGACTCGAAAATGATATGGAGGACCTTTGCAACAAGTGATAGCCACTCTACTTTGACCTCATGTTCTTTTTGCAGCTCGTGCATACAGTAATATGCAGGTTCCCTTTGGAGAATTCCCCAGGAAGAGCAGGTAACAGTCGATGCACAAGGACGGGAAGACACTAAAGACACGTTGTAACTCTTCAACACGATAGGCAAGTCCATTGGAAATAAACTTGTAAGAGTAGATCAAATGTTGGCCTTTGAGCCCTTAGGAGCTTCATTGCCCTGGTGCCTTTGAGCCAAAGCTCAGCACGGTTCGGCAGCAGTTGTTGGCGCACCTGAGCCTCAGTGAGTCTGCCAGCATAAAGGCCTGGTGGGCCAAGATTGCCAGAAGTGTCGGGCAATATTGAGAGCACATACATTTCTCTGTTTGATGGTGGGAAAGGGCAGCAAAGAAGGGAGAGAAATCTGGATGACCTCCTGATATGCGCTAAACCGCTAAAGCAAGATCATCATTTTAACTTGAAGCTACACAGAACACCATCGGTCATGAGCAGTCCAAAGGAGCTACGCATTTCAATCCCTTGTCATGGTAAGCAAAAGAGCCTTCCAGCCTGGAACTGCGATTCATTTCCAGAACGGGAATTTGTGCCAGAATCCCGCCAGGAGATGACTGGCTTTAAAGGGGGTCTGAATCAGGGAATCTGGATCGTGTCTGATTACAGCCAGAAGCTTGTCCTGAAGCAGACCAGGCGCACTAGGTTTCGGACAGTTGTGGCTGTGTGAGATGGCCTGTTGCAATGACAGAACCACTTGCTCTTAATTAATTGTATGTCAGGGATGCTTTTCACAAGCCTTGCCAAGACGATCTTTTTTAGTTGGATGTATTTGCCGGAAGCTGCCTGGCTAGTTGGCCGAAGGAGGCCTCAAACTGTGTGCATGTCAGGTGTCAGCGCATTGCTGTCAATGTCATGACGGAGGCGGAGAACTTCGTGCGAATCGCGCGAGATCATCCAGAGTGACTCGGTGCAGCATGGACATCCCTTCAGATTTCCGAGAGTGTGATGCCATCGTCCACAGTCACTGAGTGAATTATTCCTTCTCGTCAAAATCGTTCTGGTGAAGTTATGCAGTGGTTGTGCTAAGGATCACCAATGATCCAATGATCGCTTTCCCTGTGATCCTTGGGCTTCATGTGACGTGGGGCTCTTTGGGGATGCAAGCTATCGAAGAGAAAGGAAGCACAACCCTCAATCCTCTACATACATGAATGCTTGCGAACAAACACCAGCCGTGCAGACAGTGCATTCCTTTTGATTGTGGCTCTGGGCTTGCTGAACAAAGAGGGGAGACGCATCAAAATAAAGATAAAATGCATCAATAAATAAACAAACATGCTTCAAAAAAGAAATAAATATGCATCAAAAAAAACATAGAAAGAAACGAGCAAAGGAAGGAAGGAAGGAACGAGGCAAGAAAGGAAGAGGAAGCAAGGAAGGAAGGAAGGAAGGAAGGAAGGGCTAGCGGGAGGAAGGAAGGAAGGTAGGTAGGCAGGTAGGTAGAAACGAAGCAAGAAAGCAAGGAAGGAAGAAAGGGCTAGCGGGATGGAAGGAAGGAAGGAAGGAAGGAAGGAAGGAAGGCTGTGAAATTGAAATGCGATGTTGCAAAGCTTTGCCCAGATGCCCAGCACAGAGACCATTCCAGTTATCAAAGGAAGATTCATTGGGGAAACTCCATGCTATTTGTTTTTTGGTCGTGCCAAGTGACATTCTTTCATTTTCATGTTCATTTCATGTGATTTTATTGTTTGTGTTTGTTTTTATTCTTTGATCACTGCTTCGAATGGATTATTGTTCTTCCCTCTGCACGTTTGGGTCCGTTTATTTTTGTTTTTTCTTGATCACACTGAAATATGTTTATGTTTTGATGCATTTATGTTTTTTTGTTGATCCCCCGCCCGTTAATGGAATATTGCTCTTCCCTCTGCACGTTTGGGTCCGTTTACGTTTTTTAATGTTTTTTTTGATTCATTTTTGTTTTTTTATTGATCCCTCGCCCAACAAAGAGCATCGCTACTAGGAGCAAGGACGCTTCTAGGGGCGGTCCGTGTTTTGAGATGCGCCCAGAGTTGGACCCTTACTAGCACTGCGCTCAGGAAGATCTTTAGCTGCATAGGCTCGAGGGTGAGATGATTGCTATTGGTGTTCAAGGATTTGCAGATTTTATGTAATAAATTCGCTTTCGATGACTGTTCATCGTTTCTATAAGCATCCTCAATTTGTCAAGATGCACATATGAAAATCATAAAGACAGGGAAGATACAATACAAGACATAAAAGCATTCGGTCAGGTCCAGAAGGGAAGATCAGCGATGTGATCGCCATGAAGAAATGCCCTGGGGAACGGCTTTGCGAGTTCGTGGCCCACAAGTTTTATGCAGCTTCGACCGCTGTCCGATTGTGTTTCGCTGTCCGGGTTGGTCTTCCGGATCTTGTCTTGTGAGGTGAACAATTGATAATTGGGGAGCTAAGACTATGAACAAGCACTTTTATACGAAAGGTTTGCGGCTTGACATCGAGGATATTTGATGAACAAGTAACAGTGAACATGATTAATACCATTTGATGGGTCACCTTTTGCTTTGGAACATCCTTCTCAGTTTTTTTTGCTTTTTAATTTTGCTTTGGATATAATATATATATATAACTCCTTGTTTTATTTCGACTTTTGCAGAGTGATAGAGTCCAAGCAAAAAAACACTGCCAATGCCTATGATACCTTCCTCGGACAGCGTGTGGATGCATTATCGTCTGGTTATCATGTGGCGTGTCAAACTTTGAGGCCAACCAGATGTCGCAGTTGACTCATGCGCTGGAACTGGTCGGTCAGAGTCTTTCACAGTTTCACTTTCGCTTCTTGGTTCTCAGAAGACCGGTGCCGCTGGACATTGTTTTGCAACATTTGACAACTAGTCTATGCATGGGTTGGTGTGATGTACGCAGGATAGAGGGAAGACAATCCACCCAAGCAGCATGTTTTCAGGCCCTTATTTTCTCATTCGCCTCACCTTCCAGGTTACGGCCACGAGCAGCATGGTGACTTTCAACCCTCCAACATTTACTATGAGGAAAGCACGGATACCGTGACCTTCATTGATGCACGGGTCCTCAGAACGACAAGTCGGAGCTTCCGTGAAAGCTGAGTAAAGCTAGTATATAGCATGGACAAGTAGCTCAGGCTTCTTCAAGGAAGCTTTTCCTACCTGGAGGGGCTTCCTTGAAGAAGCTTTGCGCCATTCATTTGGTTCCTAGATTTTTGGGGAAACTTAACTTGTTCTAAGTGGTGCTATCATGTCTTCAAGTTTGACTTCATGCTTTAGCCGGTACAGCATTGAGCAAAGGAAATACTGCATCTGAGAATCGTAATTACCGGACCAAAAAGACAGCTTCGTGAAACTCTGTTGTAAATGTCCTCAAAGTCGTTCCTTCGGGTGAACCAAAACTGTTGTTGGTTCCCAAGATGCATTCAATTCCCATTTCCAGCATTTGCGTGCCAACAGTTCATTTCCAGGTTGGTGGAATGGGAGTGCCAACTCTTGGGGGTGATGTGGACCATTTCCACCAGTGTGTGCGCATCTCAGTGTCGCAGGGTGTCGGGACATCGCAAGTTTCAGCGACGTCGCAGTCGCAGGGTGTCGGGAACTACTGTCAGTCTTTCCAGGAGTAGGTGGAGTCTCAATTGAGACAGGACATAGATGCACTTTTTTCCGCCCGAGGTGCTTTGCTCATGTGAAGTCACATGAGAAAAGGAAGTTCACTTTCACCAAACTCTGTGCTGAGATCCGGGCCATGACCTCAAGCTACCAAGCGAATCTGTTTGTCGAGCTGTTGAGGGCCTTCGACAAGGCCATGCCAGCTGGAATGCTTCGAGCTTCGGTCGAGCTTGGTCGGACCGTAGAAACACCTGGGAGATTTTCCACTCGACTAGTGACTAGACGGCTTGTGCAACATCCTTGATATCGCTAGCAGCAAGGACGCTACTAGGGGCTCCTGCTCCTGGCATCGCTACTAGGACCAAGGACGCTAGTAGGTTGGAGGTCTCAAGCCGCCTGAGCCGCCGATGTTGCAGGGATATCAATCTCCTTGCACTCCCCGACTCCAACAGGTGCCCAGGGACGGCGGAGTGGAGTTGTGTTCATCGTGGAAAAGAACAATCTATTTTGAAGGCAAAACGACATGTGCTCAACAATTGGGTTATACAACGATATGTTTGCGAGAATGAAATCTGACAGACGGCGCGTTTCACTGTCAGGTTTGCAGCAGAACAAAACCTCTTTTCTTGCAAAAGAATGGGAGAGTAGGAGAAAAAAGGAGAAGTTGAGACTTGGACATTGGCCAAAACCAGACAGCTCAAAAACAGAGTCCGAAGTTTGGCCGTGGGGCCGTGGAGCCACCTGTCCGAATCCCCCGGCTGGGTTCCTCTCCTCTTCCTTGCCCGTTTTGGCTCACCAGGGTTTCCGTGCACTTCGATAACCGAAGCTGACGGACTTTGGCCTCTGGAAACACGAGAGGCGACACGGATCGGTTTCCGGGACAGGGTGGCTGTCCAAGCTGTTGTAAGGAAGATGGAACTGTGACTCAACAGAGGAAGAAGAATGACAAGTTGCAATGCAGATGCCACAAGGAAGATGAGTAGCCAGGTTTGCTCCAGGAACAGTTGTGAACCTGTGCAACCACTGCAGAACCACTTTGGGGGGAGGAAATGAACATGAAGGGTGTAGCATAGTCTCTGTCACACAAAGAAGTTCAAAAGAGAAAGGAAAGGAGAAGCCGGGAAAAGAAAACAATGGATGTGGGTACTATCCACATCTACATAACGTTTACTTCGATGATTATTCAGAGGCTAGGGATACCCTACAGATCGAAACATTTAGAGTCATCAGCAACCATACAAGCCCCCAACATTTGTTGGTTGGCACACATCCTCGCACTTGCGCAAAACGGCTTTAAGTCTCCAGGAATTCTCCTACCTGTTCGACAAAGGCCTCTGCCGGGAACATGACTTCCTGCGCGTCGGCACCATCTACGGTGGGCACTTCCATTTGACCCACGTAGTCGGGATAGGCGACAGGGTGCTGCGACAGGGTGAGGCCGTGGTGGATCAATATAGAGTGGAAGTTCCAATGTGTTCGAAGTTTGGGGTTTCTTGCTTGGGGTTCTTTTTTGTATCTTTTGTATTGGGTACATGGACATTTGTCCACACGATTTTTTGTTGTTCTACTGGGGTGTGAGCTTTGGGGAGTGTGAAAAGTGAACGTGTTATGGCGACTTCTTGCAACTCGCCACTCGCTATGGGAGCTGATGGAACGGTGTTGGTTTTCGGGCTTGTTGATGCTCGTTGCTTCCCTGGCCTTTGCATGCCTTTGCCAATTCCAATCAACGCATCCGCAACATCACAACTTTCCTAGCTTTGCTTCCCGACAGGTCTCTGAGTCGCCCGGAAGCGGGCCTCTTTTTCCGCCAATGTTCTCCAGCACGAGCCTGTGCCACGCTTTCCTCCTCACACGCAAAGATGAGTGGCCTAGAACCAAGTAGCGTCTTGCAGCTGGCCACTCTGAATTCAATCAACTGCTTTGGCTTTTGTGGATTGCAAGATTCATTCTCTCTCAAGCTTTGTCCGTTTGAGCCAAAGAATCCAATGTCTCCATAGGTAGCCAGTTCCTTCATTCAGGAACTTCTGTTTGTCGAGACACATCATCATTGCATTTTTTGCTGCGGAGGGTTTCTGCATTTCCCTTGACCTGGCCACAGCATGAGTACTGTGCTGTTCGACCAAAGAACAAGGGGCGTGTGCCAAGGAAAGTTGAGGACATCTCTTCTGAACTGAATTCGGTGCTGTGGCACTGGCTGCAGACTTCCATGTGGGAGCTTCATGTGTGTTTAGCTGCTTGAAGCCCGGCTCACAACTCCTACTGTATCTACTTGCAGTTATATATAGAGAGCGGGTGGTCATGGCCTGGGTTTTGGTTTTCCCAAAATTTTAGGTAAATGCTTTAGTGGCAGCCCCTCTCCATATAAACGCACATATAATCTATTCCTGCTCTCTCTATACGAACAATTATATTATGTATTCCTGAGTCAGGGTCATTTTATGGTTTTGGAAGCAGCAATCAGTCATTCAGATGGTTTTGAGCAAGATAATTAGGAAAGAAGCAGGCCATAACAATAACAGTGTTTATTTTAACAATTGTCCTCTAGATCTCTGCTTGTAATTATGTTTTGATTTGGACATATTGTATATAGACGCTTTCATGTTATAAAAGATTCTCTATAGATCTCTGCAGATAACCCAGGCCCCATGGCCCACCCCTTCTGGATATATATATATATATATATGCAAAGGGCCCCGTGAGAATATCAACCTTTGGAGGTCTTCATAAGTCTTCAAGACCATTCAGAACAACTATCGTGGAGGTGCTACACAAAAGAACCAGATGGCAGCCGAGTTGATAGTTTGGTAGTGCGCAGCATTCCAAGCCGGTTCGCTATTGGTTAAAGAAAGACCAGCCAAGAGATGTGGATTGAGCAAAGAATACCAGCCAGTGCCGGAATTGCAGAAGGCCAAGTTTTTTAGACCCGGGTAGGCTGGTCGCCAGAGTTAGCACATGTTCCCACAGCCTTTTGGGGCTTAGAGCTCTCACCTGGTTCATTATCCTTAGTAGTGTCCATTAACAAACTCAGAGATCAAGATTGTTCGCACTTCCTATGGCCCCATGGTCAAGTTCTTTCCCTGGTGACTCGGGACCAGGTCATCCCTGTCTCCGTCCGAAGCGAGGTGGCTCGCTGGGAGATGTTGAAAAGTGCGGCATTGAAAGAATTAGGATGACCTCGCCAGCTTCGTGTGGATTGACGACTAAAGCAGCTCCGTCCGTAAAAAGGTCGCTGGATTTTTGGCCGCAGACTTCTTTATAGCAGATAGGATGGTGTTTGGTAGCAGCAGAAGTCATGGCGTCCGCTGCTTTGCTGAAGCTCGAGGTTGGGTGGTGTCCGAACGGTGTTCCAACACACACACACACTTATAGAAATGCGCACTGACTCGAATGCCACTCGCCGCACGGCAACCTAAGAAACCAGAATCCTGAAAAACCAGGCAAGGGGGCCTGAGCACCTTTAGTTAAAGGCCAGAAGTCAAACTCCACGATGCGACGAACCGATAGGTTGACGACGTGCGCTCATGTCTGCCAAGCTCATTAGCGCTTTGCAGGAAGTTGGGGTCACAGCTTGTTCAAAAGTTCAAACCGTCGCAGGTACGTCACGGTGATCAGCCGTGATATCCGCATGTACTGTGGCCGCTTCGTTGGACCAGCGCATGGATGGTCCCCCTGCTAAAGAAAAATCAAGCGGTAAAGCAATCAGAAAGGAACCTCGTGACTCCACAGCTACACACACACACACACACGCCTCCCCGAGGGGAGGCGTCCTTTTCTGCTAAGCTCCAGACGAGAGTCAGGTTGGGTGAGAATGGGGCCTTTGAAATGGGAGTGGAGGTAATCGCCAAGCGGGAACGAAGCATTCCCAAAATGAGTTCCAACAAAGCATGTACATGAAGAATTTCGCGATGAAGAACCGCCTGAGCCACCATAGGGATGCCCTTCATCGGTGCTAGGCCAGCAGGAGATGGTGGCATGGCGGGTGGACCGGGAACAGAGGGGAGGAACTCATGACACTCTGAGGCTCTGACAGGTTTCAATGAACCTTGAACAAGCTTCGGCCGCTGCGGCATGTACGCCGTGCCAAAATGGCTGGCTGCTTAGACCGCTGCGGTCACGTAAAGGCGTGAGCCAGCTTGGAGTTCAACAATTCAGCAAGTCTTGGCAAATAGCTTTGGCCTAGGCCACCTACGCTCCGTTCGACGGGTCCACAGGGGCCACTCCTCGGGGCACCCCGGGCTCTCGCGAGGAGAGGCACACTCATAGAAATGCGTACTCTCGAATGGAAACTAAGAAACCAGAATCTTGAAAAGCCAGGCAAGGGGGCCTGACTGAACACCTTTAGTTAAAGGCCAGAAGTCAAACTCCACGATGCGACGAACCGACAGGTTGACGACGTCAGCTCATGTCTGCCAAGCTCATTAGCACTTTACAGGAAGTCGGGGTCACAGCTTGTTCAAAAGTTCAAACCGTCGCAGGTACGTCACGGTGATCAGCCGTGATATCCGCACGTACTGTGGCCGCTTCGTTGGACCATCGCTCAGAGCACATGGATGGCCCCCCTGCTAAAGAAAAACCAAGCGGTAAAACAATCCGAAAGGAACCTGTGACTTCAGAGGGTACACACACACACATGAGTCCGCGATCAACAGAATGTTGAACAAATGTTGCAAAAGCGCTCAACGAAAGCGGCGATCAGCAGCTGCACTGCGGAGGGAAATTGGTTTAGGGGAGTCGCATGCGAAACCACCATGGAATCAAAACGACCCTATAGATCGGGTTAGGCAATTTTTTGTCTAATAGTCAATTCCA